ACTCTTTTTTCTTCGCTCAAGTTTTATCCCATTGCGCTTTCTTGATAATGCTTTAATGAGACAACATTTTATTACTCTAAATAGTGGTGTAAATAGTCATTCAACGGATAGTATTGTAAATAAAGTAGTATTTATAAATGACTATTGTATCAGTTGCAGTCCTAATTATTTCCTGAAAATATGAGTATTGAGGTGTAAAAGGAGTATTGAGGTGTAACAATTTGTTTTGCCCAACGATGAATTGATTTATTTTATTAAATCATTTGATCAATGTAAAAGCAATAGATGGAGTCTTAGAATTAGAATATTGTGAGGTGTGTAACAAATTCCATTTCATATATGCACAGACAGAGTTGAAGAGTCTTTAGATTTTTTTTACCATCATTCCAAAATGAGTAATGCTGTGCAGTTTCACAGGGGTTACAATCTCAATTAAGGTGGCGCAAGATGATAGATTAAATGAAAGATGAAATTAAATGATTTATTTAATTTCACATATTATTTAATGTCACTTAAATTTGAGTTATAATCTCAATGAAACTATATAGCACTGCTCTTCCAAAATAGATGCATATGCTATAACCTTTAATTAATACATAAATTATTATTATCCCAACTTTAATTACAAATAAATCCCATGAACTAAGCATATACATATATGTATATGAGGTTAGCTTACCTTCACAATGTTCTCAAATTTTAAACCATATAATTTATAATTTTATAGATTTATGTTATATTAGATATGATTAAGTTCGATCAAAACAAGAGTCAAATGGATTAATTTATTTAATCTATTTTAAATTTAATTAAGTGACCTTAAAGTGTACTCTAACTTTTAAACCCTAATGAAAAATAAAAAAGATATATTATAAAATCCACAGAAGTAAAATAAATATATATCAACAATAATTATGGAATTAGACAGAATCTAGAGACTTATTAATGAGTTAGATTATTTTACTATTTAAAATAAGTTCTGTTGATAAATGACAACTTAATTTGATTGATATAAAATTTTCAGTACTTTAATGCTAAAAAATGCAATTTATAATTAAATGGAGTTTGATTTATATAGAATTTTTGTTGGTAAGATAATTGATTATTAACAATATTATAGTATATTCAATTATTCACAAATCACAATTAAAGGTATTGTTGACAATAAATAAAATAACAGTAAAATTGTTAATTGAATGTTTCTCCAAAAACCACACTTGTAAATTATTCACTACTAAGTGAATGATCGTTGTATCCTACAGTCATTATGACTATTGTATTTTTTATAGTCGTAATCCTTCCATATAAATATATGCTTTAATTCTCAATAAAATACACTCAAATTTATTGATTTTTATATTTTCTTCTCTTTTCTATCTAATTTATAACATCTTGTTATGTATTGAAGATTATTACTACTGTTACCCAACTATCTCTTCCTATCTTCAATTCAAATGCCTCGTATGCACAAAACTTTTACAACTTCTCTTAGTAGATAACATTGCCATACTTAAACCTTAATTTACTTAATAATATAAATGTGGTTAAAGTTGTGTTTCATTTTGATTTTTCTAATATCAAGATAATTTATTAAGCATTAAAGAGCCCAAGTCAATGCAACATGTGCACTGGAATAAAGGCAAATATAGACAATATATCTCAACTCAGTTGTATCATAAAAGATCTTCAACTGTTTGTATCATACCCATGGAGCAAGTGGATTTTAATGACTCGACATAGCAAATAAATCATCTCCGTACTCAAAAACCACTATATAAATCAAAGAACGTAATGAATTAAACCCTACCAATCCAATTTTACCCGATTCTTTCTGTAATGAATTATGTCAAGAATCGATTGCGCAATCAAATGAATGATAAATAGTTAAATGATAGCTTGTTTGTATATATTGAGAAGGATGTATTCGACATGATTGATGATGATGTAGTTATACAACGTTATCAAAGTATAAGAACTCGAAAGGAACGCTTGTAATAAGGTATGATTTTGTTAAATTAAAGATTAGTGCTTTTTTTTATACGTTTCTTGATTTTATTTGTTAATAATGTACATTAATTTATGTTCTTTTGTTTTATTTCTCTATTACAAAAGTATCAACTTACCTCATTTTAAGAGATCATGTTTTTTTTAAAAAAAAAAAATCGGGGGGTAGCCCCGTGAGCTCCCACCCCTTCAACTCTAGGATCCTCCTACTTCGACGGGCTGGCTTCGCCCCTGATGATGAAACACTAAAAGGGAGATGTAAAAGCTTCATGAAATTGCATGTACATGCCCTACGTAGCAAAGAATTACTTAGTGATAGGGGTTGTAATGGCTAGTCGAGTCGGCTCTTCCCTTGCAACCATGAGCTATCTTGTGATCAAAATATGGGCTCGACTCGGCTCTGCTTGAATCTCGTGGGCTTCACAAGCCGAGCCGCCCATGAGATGACTAGATTTTTTTCAATAAAGTAAAAAACTAAGCAAAAATATGAACTGACCCATGAGCACATACGAGCTAGCTTGCATATGCCCTCGGCTTGAAAATAATAACATGAACTCAGTTCGGCCCATGGCTCGGCTCAAAACGAGTCAAAGCAGTCCATGGATCGAGTCAGGACAAGAAAAGTCCACTAGCCGTCGAGCAACTCTGCCTATTTGTCACCCTACTTAGTTAGGCANAAAAATTTTGAAAAATAAAATTCTAAAATTAATTGAAAAATAAAAATATTTCAAACTTTTAAAGATTATTTATATAAAAATCCTAAAAAAATTATTCAAATAAACACGAATAAAAATATTTTCTGTCCACGTCAATAATTTTTATTTTTCCCTATATTTTGAAGTCAATTTATTATTTGTTTTTATTTACTTTTGTAGCGAGAAAAATATTGTAATATTCACCAACTTTAAAATGTATATATTTCTTTAAAATATATTAATATAAAATTGTTCTGAATATTGAATAATAAATTTTCATGGATAAAGTGTCATTAAGCCCCTATTTGAGCCACATTATTTTTTCATTCTCATCTTTTTTACTCATTTTCAACCACGCATTTTTCAATAAAATAATATTTTTCATCACATCAATAATTTTTCATTATTTTTAAACTACACATTCTCCGTTAATCTACTATTCCAAAGAACATTTTTTAAAAATAATGTTGCTCAAACACACCCTAAATTGTATTTTAGGCCATAGCTTAGGAAAGAAGACTTGATCATCTTGAACGTTTCTTACAACTAGCAAAAGTTGACTAGTAATTAGTTAATCACTCCAATGTCTCCAAGTTCAAACATTCACGTTTCCACTTCAATTTTGGCAAAAAAAAGTTAGGTGCTGGTCATATATTCTAATGTACCCCACCGTCGACAACTTCGTAAGCAACCTAACCTATCCAAAATCATAAACTACTACTACCATATAATAAATTCAAAACTAACATATAATAATATGATTAGACTTTGAAAAGTAATAAGAATATTCTTATCCATACACGAGTAAAATGTGGGAAGACAAGACACCTAGAAGTTGCAAGGAAAGAGAGGTCACGACCCTACTTTATAAAAGACTATGATTAATTGACTATAAAGTCAAACAACATTCAATTATAAATAAAAAATGCTATTTGTACCAAGTTACTTTACAAAAGTCCTTGACAAAATGACGCGTACGGTGGATATCAACTTGGAAGTGGACGGCTGTGATGTTTTTAAAGCTTTTGAGCGCCAAAATGGGAAATGGGTGGGAGAGAGAATTAAAATGGCATTTTGTCTCCAGCTGCATCTGTTTTCTCTCTCCGTCTCCATTTCTCATTTTGGCAAGAAAATTAAAATAGAATTTTGTCTAAAATTGCATCCATATCTCTCCGGCACCATTTCCCCCAAATCAAGGTGTCTTATTTATGAAAAAGAGCTCTTGATTTCCGCTGGAGTGAAAGAAACTGAGTTATACAGACAGAGCTTTGATTTCACGATTAAGAAAGAGAAGTGAATCAGATCTCCCCCGTTAATATAAAGAAACTAGGACACTTAACGGTCTCCTCATTCATGAATTTGTAGAGAAAATCTTTGTCGCAACAAACTGCTCAGGTTTGGTTTAGATAAAAATCAAAATTTTAGTAAATTTTCATAAAAAAGGTACGAGTTTTGCATAAAAGTGACAAGATTAATAATTCATCAATATACATTTTGTTTTACAAATTTGGCTCCTGATACTGTCAAGAAACCCCCTCGTTCTATAGTTAACAACTTGTGTAATCGCCCTCTCGCCAATATGAAGTAAAACTAATAAACTAAGTTGAAAATGCAAATTACATGACAAAAAGTGAAAAGAAAATTCAAATCCACAGATCCCAACCCCCGTCTCCATTTACAGTACTTGTTTTTTGAAAACAACTTGTTTGTCCACTAAATCCAAAATTCCATGATAAAAAACTGAATCTTCATCTTCTGTTGCAATATTTAGATCCAATAAGGCACATTCCTGCTTCAAGTCCTCACCGTTTTCTTGATCTCTCTCTATTTTGTCACATTTTTGTTCGGTACGAGGAGAACAAGTTCTTGCTTCTGAGCTGAAATTTTCACAGTTGAAAACGACGCCGGAGTAACGGGTGCTGCCGGAGGTGGGGATGACGCCGGAGTTACGGGTGATTTTGCGAGGAAGGTTTGCAAAATCTCTGATTTGGGGGAAACGGGGGAGAGAGAGAAGGACGTTGGCTTTTCTAATTTTTAAGAATTTTTTTTTACTCATGCCACGTTACTTTGTCATCTAACTTTGTCAAAGAAATTTGTACACATAGCACGACCGATTATAAATAAACCATAGCAATTCCAAATTTCAAACAATATACTGCTATATATATACACACATATAAGAGAGGTCGCGACCCTACTTGATAAACGATTAAGATTAATTGACTATAAAGTCGAACAACATTCAAATTATAAATAAATAAACTATAGCAATTCCCAATTTCAAACAACTATTCTCATTATTTAGCCGTATACGATGTGGCCAGAATTAAAGTGCTTGTTTGGACATCCATATGGTTCCACCATAGTCGACCTGCAAGTAAATTTCATAATAACATTGTTATATTATAGCAATCATCCAAAAAAATATAATAAAAAAGGTAACTTGTTTATTTTCTTTTATTTTTTGCTTGAACAAATTCGTTGATTACTGTGCCCTTCCTCATCTCTATGTGCCTAGATATCCAATGTAAGCATTTCCTTGTTTGAACCTCGTTTTTCTAATACTATGCCATCCTAAGGCGCTGTTGATTACTGGTATGCAATAATATAAAAAAATATAATCGACTTCCATTGGAAAAAGCAACCCCAAAAATTTGGACTAAAAGCATTTAGCGATGACCATTGAATAAGCTTTTTCAGTTTGAGGTGGGTCATTCAGCTAGCCATAAACTAGACACACTCTTGATTTTGCAATATTTTCTTCATTCATCGTTTCAAATTCATTCATTTACACGTAAATGTCATTTTCTTCACGAGTACGTTCACCAATTTTCCAAACCCCACACGAAATCTAATGCCTAACAGTAACTATTAGCTAACATCAGCGTTCCTAATTAATCAAATATTTCTTATTTTCTTAAAAAATATAAACATTAAAAGTGAAAGAAGAAAATAAAAGAAAGAGATATACTATTGAAGGCGGCATTAATTGCCTCAACCAGCACATTAATAAACGAAGAATTAAATTGAAGTCTTCCCTTCCTTCCTAGTACCCCCTTGCAATAACTACATTATACCAACCTCTCTTTTCTCTTCTCCAGAAACCTCTGCAATGACTGCCTCCTTGCTATAGGAAAGTCTGAAAATACGAAGATAAGATTATGAAGAATCTAAAATGAACCAAACATGCCTAAAGAAAGAAAAATTAATACACACCTCCATTGAGGGTTCCCAATATATTCTTTTGGTCAGATGTCAGTTTAGAATCTGAGGATTCAGCAGGTTTTTGGACTCCTTCCTCAGCAATAAGGAGAATATCCTGCGCCTGCGGTGCACCATTCATTAATTTTCTTTAAAATAAAGTTTAGTTTCTTTTTGTTAATTAATGATAATGTGAAAAAAAAAAATGAAACCTTGTCTGGAGAAACATCAAAAACAGCGACCATCCCATTGTAGAAAATCGTCATGGGAGCAGTTTCAGTACCTATTTTAGGCTCACGGTTTTGCCTGAAAAATCCCAGAAAATATTATTATCTAGCCACATGCAAGAAACGAAAAGGCGAAAAGGCGATAATTCATTTTTATGTTTTTTTTTCCTTCATTTTTTCGAAGGTTGTTACCTAATGGTAGAATCATGAAGTGGCAATGAAGGAAAGGAAGTATCTTCCTTTGGCGTACACGGAACAGAAACCGGTTTATTCAGACCCAAGGAACCATTTGCAATCACAGTTTTCAGAACCTCTGGATTGATCTTAGAGACAACTCCTTGTATATCTAAACCCCACAAAATATAAGGAAAAAAAAACTCATCAACGCCATGAAATTAACACGCTCCATTTCAAACTTCAAACACACAGAAATAAGAAGTATGCAAACCTCGAAAGCTTCTTCTGCGTTCGAAGCCGGAAAGCTTAGAAGGAGGAGATAACTTCTTTTCCATGCCCAAAAAGTCGAGTTCTATTGCTGATCTCGACATGACTATTCTTCTTTTGTTTTCCGGTGGTGGTGGACTCGACAGGAACCACTTTATTATAGTGGGTGGCTTGTGTGCCAGAAGATGTTGAGTTTGGTACTATAAATAAATGAAAGGCACGAGTAAAATGAGAAGGGTAGAATAATAAATGGGGCGGGCTATGCTTTGATTGTGGTAATCTCTAATCTTCTTTGAATGAGCAACCACGTAATCCACGAGATGTTGTAGCGTTTCATGAATAATGCTATATAATATTAGTGAGGTTAAAGTATCAATTTATTTGACAGATTTAATTAAAATTGAAATTATGTAATTTATTTAATTGTACTTTTCATTTAATTTGATGACACATAGGGTGGATAATTTGAGATCTGTTATCCAATTTTTGGTGTCTAATTTGCAATCTACACAATTAATTATAGACATTTTATTTTAAATTAATATATCCAAATTTTCCTAACTACTCGTTATGTTTAAAAATATGTGACATTTTAATGTAAATTGACATGTCAATAATTAATTGGTAAACTACACCTTGTAACATCAGTGATGCTAAACTCATTTTAAATCACATTCCTTAATAAAATAATTTGGCCCGTAAATTAAATTTTTTCTGTACTTTGCCTTTATTTGAGCCTCATTTTATAGGTAAAATTCTACATGTACATTTGTGTTTACACCCTGGTGTACATAATAATCAAGTGGAATTTCAATGTAGCAAAACCCAAATGTGTTTATGAATAGTGAAATTTTGAAGAATGTGTGGTTAAAAAATAATGAAAAAACTTCGATTATGTGTAATATTATTTTATGGAAGATCGTGTGGTTGAAAATGAATTTTGAAAAAAATTAGGGTGAGTTTGGTTTTTTATTTTCAAACTATTTTCAGTTTCCAATTTTGCAAAACACTGAAAACGTATTTGGTCTATTATTGCTAAAAATGCATTTTTGAAAATAAATATAAATTTATAACATAATGTATTTTTGACGTTTTAAATGTTTTTAGTAAAAAATTTTGAAAATACTTAAAACATGAAAAACAAGCATTTAAATATAATTTTAAAAATTAAAAAAAAAACAAAAACATAAAATTCTAACAAATGAAATTTTAAAAATTATATAAAATTAATAGCCAAATACATAAATTCGAAAAATAAAATTGATAAATTTGAAAAAATTAAAATTTGAAAAAATAAAATCTAAAATTCTTAAAAATATATAATTCTAAAAAAATAAAATTAAAGTTCTGAAAAAAATAAAGATTATATTTACATAAAAAATTTTAAAACATATTTAAATGAAACATAAACAATAATATTTTAAGTCCACATCTTCGTTTTTTTTATTTCCTATATTTTGAAATTAATTTATTATTTTAATTTTTAGTGAGAAAAAAAATATTATAAGATTCACCAACTTTAAAATGTATACAATAATTAATAATATATTAACGTAAAACTGTTCTTTTTTTTTTTTTTGAATAATCAAATTTAATAGAATAAAATATAATAAAACAAAATTTCAAACCAAACATATTTTTTACTTATTTTGAAAAAAATCTCTCTTATAAGATTCATTTTTCACCGAAAAATGGGACTCACACAATAGCAACAGGAGACCAACCAACAATTCACTTATTCACATGATTTACGGAATTTGTTTTTTTATTTGACTCTCGCTCTCACGGCCTGTAAACAGGTGTCACATGTGCGTAAGGCCATCTAGAATTTTACACGCCAAAAAGGTTGAATTCTAGGTAAACTGGGGTAGGGGCACCCAGTGATGGGTCAATTCCTAGTACTATGTCACAGTTTTTATTTGTCCACCAGTTAATGAGAAAAAGCCTATAGATTGCTATTATGTTCACCTGCCAGGCCACCCTTGTCATTATGGCTCATCTGGCTAAGCTAACAGTAACAATTTTATATTTAAAGTTTGTACAATCGAGGTTGGCAACCTTAAGATTGTACATGAGGGGTCCACTCTTTTTTTTTGAATTTTTTAAACATGTGGACTCAACACAAATGTGAGAGGTTGTCAATCTCGATTGTACAAATAGAATTTTCCTTATATTTAACACTTATGAACAAAACTGATCTCATTCACACATTGTGGGTGTGTTTGGTACCCATTAAAATTTTCATTCTCATTCTTCTACTCATTTCCAATCACACATTCTTCATTAAAATAATATTGTCCATCACTTCAATAACTTTTCCTTCTTTTTCAACCACACATTCTCTATCAATCTACTATTCCAAAATATATTCTTCTAAAATAATATCCATCAAACACACCCTGTGATTAGGAAATATTTTGTCAATTTATGAGGCGGCAAAATATGATATTGTCACCTTACCGATATTTCAGACCCCACCGATGAGATCTTTTCACCTTGTTGATGGGCAAAGTATCTTCCCACTATGAACAAGAGATGAATCCTGTAATTACGAATAGTTTATCGTCGTGATAATGATGGAATATCGATAATGTGTAATCTCATTATTCTTCACATTTCCCTCTTTCATCATTCTCTCTCATAAAAATTAAACTATTTAATCTTATTATTTTATATAGATCGCTACATTATCAATATTCTATTCTATGTAATAAATAACATTATCGATTTGAAATCAACTTTAATTAAATCCACGATGTACACGTTAGTTTGAGGAAGTTTAATGAAAAAAGAAAAGAAGATGACCTTTAAAAAATCCATTATGATTTCACTGTGTGCAGTGGGCAACAGTCTGCCACTCCCTATTATAAATCAGAAATGCAAGATACACGTGGCTCAATTCAATTCCGGCTTTGGTGCGGCTCAATCAATTCCGCTTTTTCATGATATAAGATAATCTATGTGAGAAAAGTGAATTTGCTTTGTTTTAATAAAAAGGAAAATAAAATAAAACAATAATAATAGAAATTTAAGTTCAAAAATGACACACTCTTAACAACAGCATATCATCACAATTATGTAGAAACATTAGATGATTCAAAGAAAGCTGTAGAACGTATTTTCGTATTTGATATTTCTATTCATTTTCTTTTGTTATTTATTTTATACCATTTAATTATATCTGATGAATACATTAGCTATATCCTTATATTTATGCAGAGAATTGATCATATGTTACAACTAGAGAGGTTGCAATTGATATCGACTCAAATGTTGAATTAAATTGTTTCTATCATTTTGCTGTATTGTAATGATTAGAAGTGTAGAATTTTTATTTACAATATTTGTAATTATACTAATGTTTATAATTTAACGAGATATTTTAGACTAATATTAATGATTTAATTTGTTCGATATTTATTTGCTAAATAGTGGTTTTAAATCGAACAAAATCGAAAAAGTGATTTGATTTTGTTCGGAAAATTTTCAAACCGTTTTAAGTTGTTTGATTTGAGAATTTGTCACAAATCGTTCAAATCACACAGTGTTCACCACCAATATATATGAGATAAAAATATTACTAAAAATAAATTAAACAACCAACTACACTCAACAAAAAAATAAAAAAATTGGACCAGAGAGAAAAAAATACTAATTAAATTTATAGATTAAAAGACTAAATTAAAATCGATGAGATGCTACTCGACAAACATTTTGCATGTTTTTCATTCCACAAACTTGATCAAACCTTATTTTTCTTAACTTTTAAGATTCAAGAAAAACATAAACGTGAATGAGAATATGAAAGAGTAAATCGTCTAGCTCATTTGTGTATGACAGTTGGCTTGTATTTTGTTTTAATTTTTATTAATTTTCAGAAAAATATTATTAAAACAGTAAAAAAAAAGAAAAGAAATATTAAAATTGAAAAATTTGGGATGTTAAGCAGTCCGCAGTCGGCAAGATTGACTTATAAATATCAATGTGATGATCTTGGGGAGTGGAAAAGCATATCGCCGTCTAGCCACCCTACTAAATATCTTTCTGAATAGCTGACCATATCCCGCTCCACCAATTAAATGATTGATTAAACAAAAACGTGCTCCCTATGTGTGCTTGTATGATGTGATCACTGCCGAATATACTCATGGGGAAGAGGGTTGTGCACAAATATCTAGTATTTTGACCTTCAATTTCATGTCAGTGAAAGACGATTACATCCTTATACTAGATTTAAAATAAATAAACTGAAGAATTAGATCATGTAAATTGTCCCACTGGGTTTTCTTACTATCTTCTCTTGATCAAGGTTTTATTTTATTGAATTTTTCTGTAAAGATTTAGTCCTTATGTGGGCTCCATTATAATTAGATTTTTTAAAAAATATATTTTATAATAGTGATTTTTTTTAAGAGTGTGATTAAAAAGAATGAAAAATTCTAAATTTACGTGTAATATTGTTTTATTAGATAATACGTGATTGAAAAGAAGAGATAGGAAAATGTATTATCAAATTAATGGATCCCAAACAAGGGCTTATAATGACGTCGATCTCGATTTTTGCATGAGTGACATGGTCAACAAATTGCGACTTTACCCGCGTCCATGTAGCCTATGTCTGCACACTTGAACAAACTATTAAAAACACGTGGCATTCTTCGAAGATGGAAGAGGCGACCGCATGCGCTCTGATGATCAAGTGAGCTACTAAAAAAAGTGTATTTAATGAAAACAATTGAATAAAGAGACACATGACTTCATTTTAATGGCCGAGTCGCCTTATCATTGCATCATTCCATCAATACTAAGGTCAGTAATGAGCGGAGTGACAGCAACCTACAGTAAATCACAGTATTCTAGCCCACACAGCGCCTCAATAGGCTTCGACAAAACCTAGGGCGGCATGTAAGAGTAGACTGACGATTTGACTTGGTAGAGTAGCCGCTGCAAAAAAGGTCACATCAATTAATCATAGTAGATATTATGCAAAAGATCTTTTAGGAAACACACCTCGTATGCTTAAAGGTCATTAGCCTCGGATCGATGTTGCAGCACTTCGCATCACCTCGCCTTAATCATGGAGGTTTGGCCTAGACATGGTGGT